GAGTATTTAAGTACAAGTACTGAGGAGTATTTAAGTACAAGGACAGATGAGTATTCGTGGTCTCAGGTCTCTGCTGCGCTGTTTACGTAGTGACGTAGCTTCAGTCCTCCACTCTCACTGAATGCGTTGTTTGTGTGTTACGTCACGACGTTGATCCCGTTAAACGGTTGGCTTGGAAACCGTCGCAGCGTCGCTGGTGAGGTTGGAGGAATCACAGTCACTGCAGGTGAACAACAACAGGTAAACAACAACAGGTAAACACACACAGCTACAGCCTCACTGACACGTGTGTTCCCGTGTTTGGATCCATGTGTGTGGACGTCGGTTCGTTTCAAAGCTCAGGCTGTCGGTCGAAGAACTTAAATCTTGCTGTAGCAAGCTAACTTAGCCTGTTAGCTATCGTTAGCACGTAGCGAGCTAGCTAAAGTTGCTAATGGTACCTAGAGGTTTCAAGGCGGCTGCTTTCTCAACACTGGAGCCGAAACTTTAAGAATTACAACACAGACAACAACACGGTCTGTTCCTGTATTTAAATAAAACGTACACTGAACAGTCAACCCAAACAAAGCTGTGTGTGTGGGCACGTTACAAACCACTGCAGCGTTAGCCTCATCCCTGTGTTTTTATTTTTAGCATGCCAGCCCTCCTCCCTGGATTACTCTTCTTTTACACACAGAATGAGAGACATCACGGAGCCTGAGGATGCCAGCAGGCGAGTTTCATGCTTTATTCACATTACACAGAAGTTACAAAGTGCTTCATTACATAAAAGATTTTTTAGAAAGTAATGGCTAAAGAAAAGGATAAAGAAACACTAGCGACAGCAAGGAAAATACTCGGATTACTTCAGTTGTAATGCCAGTGTAAAGATGGTCTACCACAAGTAAAACTACCCTATCAAATGTAATACAACATATACAGCCACACATACTACTTTGATTTTGCCAGCTCACTTTTGTTATTGATGATAGAGTAATCTTTTTATTTTTTATTTCTCACACTGCACATATTTTTCTTGTTTTTACTCTCCAAATATTAGTTTCTATTCCATTCATATGTTTTATATTCCTTACAGTTAAATATCATTATCCGTCACTTAAGTATTTCATGTGACTTATTACTAACTGATGTCTATTTTTGAATCTCTCTGATCTTTTCTTTTTACAGTTGAGAGGGACGACCGGGCAAAGAGCCGGGAGAGATTCAACGAAGTGTTCAAGAAATACACTGAAACAGAAAAAAAGAAGCCGAAGAAGAAAAGCACTGAAACAAAGGAGACCATTTTGGTATGTGTTCTATTATCTGCAGCTCCATGGGCATGTGTGTGTTGGAGATTACACCAGATTTCCAAGATTTAATGGTTTATATTTCATTCCTTTTAGCTTCAGAATCTAAAAACAAATCTCAGCCTTGTGAAGGACACAGAAGAGGATGAGACCATCCTTCAGAACACATATCACCCTGAGGATGGCAGCCCTCGCTACACCAAGAACAAAAGGAGAGAGAAGGACATAGCTAAAAAAGTTAACATCAACAACAGTAGAAACCAAGAGGAGATTCAAACACCAAATTCCAAGAGGAAGAGTAAGAGGGAGCTTCCGCCCCTCCCCGTACCTGAAGACAGCAGTTACATCCAGAAGGATAAAGATGCCGCCAATTCTGAGATTGCTTTTGAGCCAGATGATATAGGTTGTAGAAAAGAACCGAAGAGAAAAAGTAAAAAAGAGAAAAGCAAAGGAGATTCAGAGGCAAAAGCGGAGACCCAGGTAGAGGACGCTGAGGACAAGCTGCTTCATGAATACCAGCAGCAGATAGCAGAGGAGGAAGAGAGGACTCCAAAAAAGACAAAAGTCAAGACAAAAGAGGAAAGTGGTGTCTCCCAAAATGTTGCACTGAATAATGACGTTGGGAAGAAGAAAAAGAAGAAGCTAAAATCTGTGGTTACAGAGTCGGATTTGGGGTGTGTGCACCTTCTAATATATTGCAAATAGATGTGTTGTGTTTTTACATTTAGCAATAAGGCTGTAGGATTCAGTTTTTAACAGATATTAGATTGCAACTCTTGATTTTTGCTTCACCAGGGAACAAGATGAAGGTGCAGACCAGGATGCTGATGTGGAAAACGAAACAGAATCCAAGGGAAAGAAGAAAAAGAAGAAGAAAAAGCATGGTAACTTAAGCGTCAGGAAATCATTCACAAAATTCTAAAATGTTGTTTGGATGTTGATGAATTTTATTCTATGTTTTTTTCAGTTGTCAAAGAAGAGAGTGAAATTGAGGCAGAAGCACAACAGAAACCAACGTTTGACGACAGCCTCGTGCTGGGAGTGTCTGTTCACAGAACAGATCGCCTCAAAACGGACCTGCTGATCTCACACCCGATGGTGAAGATCCATGTAGTTGATGAAATCACTGGACAGTATGTGAAGAAAGAAGACTGGTGAGAATGGACAATATAAGCCAAACATATTTGAATGAATATACCAATTTAAAAGTGACTTTAGTTTTCTTTTTTGTAGGTTTGTAATACATTCATTCATATTTCTCTTGTTTTTTAGCCATAGACCAGTTTCCTCATTTTACGAGCAGGAGAACGTTGACCACATTCTGCCCATTATGACTCAACCTTTTGACTTCAAGAAAAACAAATCTATCGTCCCCGAGTGGCAGGAACAGATCATATTCAACGAGCGCTTTGGTTACTTTGTTGAACAAAACGACGAAAGCCCTAGAGTCTTACTTTTATTTGAAGTAAGAGACATTTTAATTTGAAATACTTGGCCAATTTCAACATTGCTGCCACTAACTATCATTTCAAATGTTTTGTAAAGATCCTGGACTTCATTAGCATGGAAGAAGCAAAAGCTAACTTTGATGTCAACAAGCATGAACGAGGATTCAGGAAGATTGCATGGGCGTTCCTCAAGGTACTGTATTAACACTTAAAAAAAGATATTCAGTCTTAATTTGAATTGCTTAATCTCTTCCTTGTTTTATGTTTCCCTCTGTTTAGCTTGTTGGCACAAACGGTGTACTGAACATCGACAGTAAACTCCGTCTGCAGCTCTTCTGTCCTCCGCGCGCAAAGAGACAACCTAAAACCATAGAGGTGGTTGAGTGGTGGAGGAAGTTCCCCAGACACAAATATGCATCCACCCTTTATGTTACAGTGAAAGGCATTAAACTCCCTGAGCATGTAAGTCAGTAGTTGATTGTTTCTTTCTTTGTGTAACTTTATAATATCTCACATTTCTATTATATTTATGTTATACTACAGATAATGTTTCATATATTTTGATGTAAAGCTGGAGCAATGCCTTCAGTAGATTCAGTCCAGTGTTTCTGTTCTGCAGGTGGACCCAAGTATCCGCTCCATGATGGCACTGCAAGAGGAGAGGGGCAGCACCTCGTATAGTGAGCTGCAGAACGAGGTCACTAAGAGGAGCATGACTCAGCCTCTAGACAACAAGCCGCCAGTCTTGAGATGGAGCAGGCTGCCCGGTCAGGTCGGTAGAATTAACAGATGAGTTCTATTGTTGCATCATTTGAATTGCCACGGGATAATCATAGCTATGATGGAATAAACCTGATGTGTATTATATAATCATTCTCGAGGACCATTTTAATCTGCATTCCTCATAAGACACATGAGCTTCATCAGCAGACTGGATAATGTGAGGTAAACTCTTTACAGACAATTAAGATAGTCTCAGTTTTTTGTGGTTCTGCCCCGTCAGGCTCCATCTGGCCCTGAAGAAGACTGAAACAACCTCAGATCTATTTTCTCATTCTGTCTGTTCTGCTCTGGACTCTGCTCAGACATGTTTGACTACACAGGCCTTATAGATGTTTCTCTGCTAAAGGTCTGTCGGATTCCTAACAAGCCCATGCTGGCATTTCGTGGTGGTCAGATGGGCTGTTTCACTGTGC